AAAACTGACAGATAAGATCGTTGAAATTAACAAGCTTCTATAATGAAGGGACAGCCTAAAGAATTAGAGAAAAATCTTTGCTACCTATGTATTTCACAGAGTGTTTATACATAGAACGCATAAAAAAGAAAACCTCAAAAATTAGATACCAAAAGAACAAACAACATAACCAAGAATGGGCTAATACCTGTTCATTACCTGGAAAGACAGTACAGGGCCAATAAAAAGGAAAAATTCGTCAACATCCTTTCAGTTGGAGAAATAAAAATTAAAATGGCATAGAGACTTGTTCATGTATTTTATTATTTAAATTATTTATATAGTGTGGGGGGGGGGTCACTTGAGCTCATACCATGTTAGGTTTGTGGATATCAGAGGACAATTTGTATGCTTCATATCTCTCTTTCCAACATGTGGGTGGGCTCCAGGAACCAAACGCATCACTTGGTGGCAGGGTGCTGACCTCACATTGATATTCTCTGTCACTCTAGTCAGATGGCTGTCATTAAGAAAATAAATAAGGCCCACACCTTTAATTCCAGCACTCAGGAGGCAGGGTCAAGCAGATCTCTGAGTTTGAGGCTGACCTGGTCTACAGAACAAGTTTCAGAACAGCCAGGGCTACACAGTGAAATCCTGTCTCAAACAAACAAACAAACAAATTCATACATACATACATACATACATACATACATACATACATACACAACAAATAAACAAATACTAGCAAGGATAAGGAGAAAAGGTAACCCCTTATACTGCTGATGATCATGCAAATTAATGGAAATCAGTAAAGAAGTTCCTCAAAAATAGATGGATGGATTGATGGATGGATGGATGGATGGATGGATGGATGGATGGATATCTCTGTCTCTGTCTCTGTCTCTCTCTCCCTCCCGTTTCTGCTTCCTGTGTATAGATAAGTGATATTTCTCCATTTCCTGTTCCTACTACTTTCTAAGCATTATGAACTCTATCCCTTGGGAACTTTAAGCTGAAATAAACTCTTCTCCAAAGTGCAGAACATCAAGCTAGAAAAGATATATAAAATCATTTCTACATATGAAATGAAAACAGAAGTGAGACTGTATCAGGAAAGAAGTGCACTAATGGGGGTGGGGAGAAATGAGAGGGAATGAAGAAGAGATGTCAGAATAGTTGACATCCTTGAATAAAAATGTCATTAGAAAACCTGTTCTAGGGCCTATTTCTGACAGGAACTCAATGGCAGGCTCTTTGACCTTCCCCCACCCCAAGGGAGGAGCAGTCCTGCTAGGCCACAGAGGAGGACTTTGCAGCCAGTTCTGAAGATACCTGATAAAACAGGGTCAGATGAAAGGGGAGGAGGTCCTCCCCAATCAGAGGACTTGGAAAGGGGCAGGGAGGAGATGAGGGAGGAAGGGAGGGTTTGGGAAGGAATGAGGGAGCAGGACACAGAGTTAATAAAATGTAACTAATAATAAAAAATATATAAAATAAATTTAAAAAAACAATACTTAGTAAAAATTTAAAAAAAAAAAAGAAAACCTGTTCTACATACAATGTATATACACCAATCAAAACCTAAAATTAAATTTAAAAAATCAAAGCTATTGTTCTAAAGAGTAGAGATGGTTAGTCATTTTGGCCAAGGGAAGAAACTGAGAATGAGGGTTACACCCTGCTTTGAGTAAGAATGGTGTCCCACACAGGCTCACATGGCATTAAACCCACATTCTTAATATCAAGCCTCTCAACAACTTCAGCCAGCAATGTCACCAACATGAAGAGAGTCACATCGCTCATATGCCAACCACCATCTCTCCTTTGAGCTCATTTACTTCATCTGTTTATCTAGCCAATGACTGTACTAATTCACACCAGGTAGAGGGGACAGGACCACAAGCAAGACAGGACCAGGAGGGAAGCCTGCAGACACTGCATTATGAAAACAAACAGTTGTCAGCTTCCAAAAGAGCTGAAGAAACTCATTCATTCTGCTTCCTGAGTCAGAGATTGTGAAAGCCACAGTCTCACTTCTGGTCCTTCAATATTTAAATTCTTCAAGGTCGAAAAAGGCATCTAGTAAATCTGAGGTTAATAGACTGTGGCTTAACTATTATAAAGAAAGTCTCAACTTAAAATTATTTATGGAAAAAACAAACATGCTCCAGCTTTGTTCTCATTATCTGAAAGCAATTTTAAGCATGAAAACCACAGGAGTGGAACTTCAAAGTAAACAGGAATCTTTCACCACATGCAATGTTTGAAATGGAAATCCCACTTCTGCTTCTGCCATCATTATGACTCTCGGTCTAAGTGAAAAGACTGAGTTGTTCTCCCTCATATTTCTCTGTGTGTCTCTCTCTGTCTCTATCTCTGTTTCTCTTTCTCTTCCTTTTTGAAACAATGTCTCGTGTAACCCAGGTTGCCTTCAAACCTTCCCTATAGCCAGGATGACCTTGAACTCTTGATCCCCTCTACCTCTACCTCCTTAGTGCTAGGATTATAGTCCTGTATCGAGTACTTGATTTATGTGGTGTGGGAAATCAAATTCAGGGCTTTGCATGTGTGCTGGACAAAGATTCTGACAATTACACTAAAACCTCCAGCCCTGATGTCTTTACTCCTCCCGCCCCCCGCCATTTCATTTTATTATAACTATGAACAAGAGATAATGTTTATAATGTTATTTTTATTTTTTTTCTTTTTCTGTGTGTGTGTGCCCATGGGCATGTTATGGTGTCCACACTCAGGTTGTCAGCCTTGATGGCAAGGAGCTATGCCTCCTGCTCTAACACATCAACCCAGACACAGGTGTTTAGAGAAGAATTCTGCCCATGACACAGACTATGGATTAGAAAGCTGGGACTCTGTGCAGGCCCTCTCCAGAGCTAAAGACTTCTCTATGATGATCCAGTTTTGCCTCCTTCAATAAGAGCAGAACAAATTTGTTCTCTGTTCAATGTGAGTTTAGGAAAATCCATTCTCTCTTTTAAAGGCTCCACCATCCTTATATTCAAACATTGAATACACACACATTTGCAATAAACAGAACGTGTACATAGCTATGTAAACGATTTATCCATGACTAGCATAGTATAGCATCTGTAGACAAAGCCTTTAAATATCCATGAACTTCAATTTTCCATTTCTTTTCCTGTTTTGGAACATCGCCCATTTTGTTGTTGTTTGTTAATTTATTTGACTATTTCCTGTCTGGCTCTTGAAAGCCTTGGAGACTCCACTAGTCCCCACAGTGTGCTTTCCACTGCATTTCATTTCCTTGCTAACGACACAGTGGAGACTACCATTCACTACAGAGCAACTGACCAAGGAAGGGAAAGTTGATAACTGTGGGTAATAGCAATGCTGAGGAAGACCTGAGTGACATCCCTGGACCTGCTGCCTCGCTGCACGCTTTACAAGTGTTCTCCTGTTTGATCTTCACAACAGCTTTCTGAGGCAGTGCACTGGCAGCCCCCATGCAGGGATGAGGAACCTGAACTTCAGAGAGTTGGAGGAACGTTACTGGGTTGAGAAATAGGAGGAAGATCTGGACTTAGGACCCAGTCTAACCTCCCTGCGGCACTGAACCTTTTTCTCTCTGCCCCCCGGCCTTACTGACAGTGACAGGAGCTAACACACATTGAGAACACACTGACCACACACCGGACTAAGCATTCTGGACTCATTTTCTGAGTCATTGTGAATTCACTTCATTGAAATCCCTTAAGTTCTAGCTTGTGCGATGTATGACGTGATTACATGGAACTTAAAACTATTTTTCCCTCCAGTTACAGAAAAATGAAAGAGCTTCCTAAAGTTTTAGAGCAGAACTCCACCCAGAAATAAGATGAGATTAACCTCCCTGATCAATGTGACCTGAGGTCAGCTTCTCCTGTCCTGTTTGTCTCCTGGGACAGCTTGCAACCTCGAGCCCTTTAAGGAATGTGGCTCCTCCCGATGCTGCTGAAATCTGAGGAAGCTGATGGTCTGCATCCTGCAAAGGGGCCTAATCAGCCCAATAGCCAAAAATATAAGCAACACCTTCAGCCCAGAGCAAATAAGAAACTAATGTAGACAATGCTGTGAGCCCTCCCTTTAGATTAAGTTTACTTAATATTTAACTAAAATAAGCCAGGTACCATGACACACACCTGTAATCCCAACACTCAGGAGATAAAGGCTGGTGGATCTCTGTAAGTTCAGAGCCATTCTGGTTTACAAAGTGAGTCTAGGATAGCCAAGACACAGAGAAACCTTGTCTCAAAAACAAACAAACAATATACATATACATATATGTATGTATGTATATATACATATATATTAAAGTAAAATAGAATAATTTCTTATTAGGTTTTTTAAATTGAATTTTAAGTAAGAGCCAGCTAAATGGCTCCATATATAATGACGTTTGCCTGAGATCTGAGTCTGATTCCCTAGTCTTATACAGTGCAAGGAGAGAGCAGGTGTCTCCAAGTTTTCCCCTTACCTCTACATACCATTTACGGTGTATGGCACATGACCACGCATGCACATCGAGAGACAGAGAAAGAGAGATTAATTTATTAAAAGTAATAAAATTCAAAGTTCTAAGTAAGATAAAGCCTTCGTTGGTTGTGAGCTGTGGCCTTTAATAGCCGAACCATCTCTCTAGCCCCAAATGACTTTCTAAATAAAATTATGGCAATAGTAGATATTTCGCTTCCTTTGTATAGCAAAATAATTCTTCCACAGGGAAGGGGTAGGGGCATTTTCTGGGGCAAGGAAATCCAGAGGCCTTGGAGCCCCTCCCCTGGGACAAAAGAAGGAGCAGTGACCTAGAGAATGAAAGGCCTTGGCCCAGGTCACCCAGATGCTTTATAACTTATAGAGAATCCTAACTCAGGATGCCAACACCTGTGTCCACCACCTCACTCACCTCAAGCAATAGGTCAACTGCTGAGGGGGAAAAAGTGATTTTTCTTAACTAGTTATCACATTCAAAACTAAACACATCTTCTGTGCTTAGGTTTTACCTGAGCCATTTAACTCCGTGGTTAGCACTCTTGGAGAAGCTGTAGCAGAGACTCCACGGGCAATCCCAGCCGGTGTGATCTTGGCTTGAATCAGAAAACAATATTAAAGATTGAGCTTTTTCTTTCTTTCTTCCTTCCTTCCTTCTTTTCTTTCTTTCTTTCTTTCTTTCTTTCTTTCTTTCTTTCACAATTAGTTATCAGGGAAGGGGGCACATAGAGGTCAGAGAGCGACTTTCAGGAATCAGTTCTCTCCTCCCACCACGTGAGCTGCTAAGACAAAACTCAGGCAGTCGGGTTTGGCAGCAAGTGATTTACCCACTGAGGCGTCTCGGTTGCCCAAGAATAAGGCTTTTCTGAGCAGAGAGTTTATGTCAGGGAATATGGACAGGACAGCAGAGAACATGTGGAAGATGATAAAGGAAGAGACACATGACCTCAGCCTCAAACCTATGTGGACACAGTCACTAAGGGTGTGACACACACTTCGGATGCCTAAGAGCGGTAAGATGAGGTTGCCATTGCAAGGTTAGTAATGAAACTAACAGCCACATGAGAGGTCGTGCTGAAACCCTGCTTAAACAACACCTTGTAGAATCCTTCCGGAGGCCTTTGGAAGTTAACTCCACTTCACAGATGAAAAGGTCATACATTTGAAATAATGTTCCACTATTACACAATTAATAAGAGGAAGTAATTTGAACTTTGCTCCATATGGCCACAAAGTAAGTGCTATAATTTTTTTTTTTTTTGATGTGTGAAGTCAAACCCAGGGTTTTTTGCTAAGCTACATACCTGACCCTATGTATTATAAATCCTAAAACACAAGAATGTGCACATATATATCTCCTTAACACACCCATGTAACCCAGTGGTTCATATTCCTGGATTGCCTGAAATAGATTTTTGTGAAAGGGAGAGAAAGAAAGAGAGAGAGGAGAATCCAGAATCTATCTCCAGATATGTCTTTGGTTTGTAGGTGGGGCCCAAGCCACAAAGAGGAAGTGGAAAGATTTGAGAGCCAGGGTTAGAAGATGGCTCCAAGGAAACAAGACTGTGAACTCACAGAGACGGTGATACTGCTCACCAGACATGCACAGACTCACACCAGACAAAACCCCAGCGCTGAGAAGGGGAAGTGGACAAGGGCTCCCACTTCTAAGAAGCTATTCGCAACTGATGCCCCCTGGGAAAGGGAAAATCCAGTTTTCTCCTATGGAATGTCACTGGGCAAAGCAGCCACATTCAAGAGCAGGCCCCTGGCCCAGAATTAGTTGGCCACAAACAGAACTCCATATAACTTTATGCACTTTGTTTTGTTTGATATTTTTTTCATTATTGATTACACATGTTTGTTTTAACTGTGTGTGTGTGTGTGTGTGTGTGTTTAAGAGAGAGAAAGAACATGAAGTTGTATGAATAGGAAGATGTAGAAAATCTCGTGAGAATTAGAGGAGGGGTGAAATATGATCAAAATATATTGTATAAGCTGGGTGCAATGGCACATGCCTCTTATCCCAGCACTCGGGGAGGCAGAGGCAGGCAGATCTCTGTGAGTTCGAAGCCAGCCTGGTCTAAAGCGAATCCAGGACAGCCAAGGCTACACAGAGAAACCCTGTCTCGAAAAAAAAAATTGTATATATATATATAAAACATTAAAACAAAAAAGCAATTAAAAACAGAAACTTTCCATGTGATACTAATGATCAATCAGGGTCTTGAACCTCTGGTCTAGGTCTTTCTTCCCCTTCTATAGACTGCATCCCTGAGTTTGAAAACATGTGGAAGGTACATCACTGGCCTTCACAGGTGAGGCCTCTTAATTCAGGTCTTCCAGTCCCACCCCAAGGACTGTAGCTAGGGAAGTCAGAGGGGATAATCCGTGTTTATTTATGCTATCATGATATCATAATATCATGTTAGTTCATTATGATATCACGACTCACAGGTGATTCTTATGAACAATGAGTACATGGAAAGGTCTACTCACCTGGTTTGATGATGTCCAGTTCCAGGTTCAATTTTACATCATTCCATAGACCAGGAAATTGTACCCTGCAGCAGTAGGTCCCACTGTCAGCTAAAGTCACATTCTCTATGGTCAAGGACACATCTCCTTTGTAGAATTTCCCCGTTAGCCGGTATCTTTTGGATTTCTTATATGTCACCTTTTTTTCATTGGTGCTGAGCACTCCATTGGCACATTGTAACAAAGGACAGGGTCCCTGGCCCCAGCACACAGGCACAGGTGTCCCAGAAGGAGGTAGAGTGTAGTTGCAGGGCAGATAGGCATTCTTACCGACTTCAACTTTATACACAGCTTCCAAAGACCCTACATAGAAAGAGAAGGAGGATAAGATGGTGAGGGAGGTGGATCCATTTCTGCAAGTTATGTGTCACAGGATAAAAGAGAAAACTATGGCTTCCCTGTTGGAAAGAGGATTGGGCATGTCACTGATTCTGAGACTGAAGTGGCAGCAGGGAACCCATTTCAAATACCTCCTAAGGCTGCACAGGCCTCTAATTCTGGGGCTTTGCAGGTGGAAACAGGAAGATCCCAAATTGGAGGCCAGAATGAACTATATAGCAATTTCCCGGCTAGCTTGGGTGATGAAACCATGTCTCAGAAAACAAATTAACAGGCCAGAAATGATGGCTTAAGCCTGTAATCCCCGTACTAAGGAGCCTGAGGCACAACTGCAGTGATTTTTGAGGCCAGCCTGGGCAACCCAGGCTCATTCCTTAAAATGCCTGCCTCCATTAGTCTGAGATAGAACAGGAGAACTTGCATTTCTCTTAGTTCCCATGGGTTGTGGGCTCTTGATACCCAACTCCTTTTTAGAATTACAGCCCTTGAATTGTGAACAGTTTGAGCTCATGTGACTCCTGAGATAATGGAGTCAACACTCACAAAAGGGGGGGCATTGTTGGCCAGGAAAATAACCCACCTTTCTTCACTAGTTGTCTGATCATTAGCAAAGGAAAAGTCACATAATTCATTTCTTTTTCTTTCTTTCTCTCTCTCCCATGACTAAACCACCCTGAAAAAAAAAAAACTAGTAGCTTGCATATTTGAGACTCCTCGTATTTGAAACATCTCCTCCTTGTATTGAAGTTTAAAGTAAATCCTTTATTATAACACACACATGTATATGACAAAGCAGTCAAAGCACATGAAAGATTTGTACAAGCATGGCCCCTTCTCCCAACTCTCCCCATTCCCTAGCCCTCCCTCCTAGAGCCCAACCATGAAAAGATAGTCACACACAGCTCTTCCTCGGCAGCGCTTTCACACATAATTGGGCACCTTGAGTTTCTCAGTAGTATTGTGATTGCCTGCAGTCTGTATGAGGTTGTTCAACTGGCTCACTGCTTAGACCATAATTATATCAGATTTACTTACCTGGTCCCCCAGGTTGCTCCCAAATGCTATTACAAATAGCATCACTATGCCCATCCTTGTATCTCTGGCTTGCCCTCTGTGAAATAATCTTCCTCCAACTGAAAAGGTCCAGCCCATACTTACTTGCAAGTAGTAGGTGCAGCAGCAGCAGGACACTGTTGAAGGTAAGACATGAAAACATGAGTACTTGGCAGGGAAAAATCAAAGGCCAGCTCTGTGTTGGCACAGCTTTAGTTGTTCAGTGAAAATGGTACTTCCTCTAACTCCTGACTACTCAAAATCACAAGTGCTGACCACACCTACTGAAGGCCTGCCTGCTCCTCAGGGTGTCTGGCCACCAGTGATTCCTGTGTTAGTGCTGTTGATCTAGCCACATCAGAGAACGTTCCAGTGTTCTCTCATGTCTCTCATGTCACACAAGACACATCCTGTAGGCACTCTCACGTATATTATATGAAATCAGCAAACAGGAAGTAGTATTTCTGAGAAAGAAAAGGGTTAGTCATGGCAGGAGGCGAGAGTCTTCTAGTATCTCAGATAAAATAGCCTGAGACAGTCCATATACAAACTCAGCCGGTTACCAGGAAACAAAACCATAAACATGGCACTCAGTGTCTTCTGCTGTAGTCAGGTCAGTCTCCATTAATCAGGCCTGTGACCAATGTTCTTGAAGGACCTGCTTTGAGCAGGCAATGAACTAGAAACTAAAGAATAAAACAATGAAGTCAAGTGTGGTGGTGGGGACGCACCATCTTCAATCCCAGTGCCTGGGAGGCAGAAGAAGGCAGGTCTCTGACTATGAGGCCAGTCTGGTCTACATAGCAAGTTCCAAGGCTGCAGGGGCTACACAGAGTACCTTGTCTGAAAAAAAAAAATAACAAACCAGATAGATAGATACATACATACACACATACATAGGTACATAGATACACAGACAGATAGATAAACAAAGTGATGAATGTTATATCCATATCATTATACTTATGGGCTACTTCCTTGCCGTTGAGAGCCCAGTCATCATCCCTGGTCTAATACACTTTAGGGTGTAATCTATAAGCTTATTGTATCTGATTTTCCTTGCTTATAATGCTATTTTGAGGCAAGGAAGTTATCAAGACACCATTAAAATGGTGCCAGCTTATAATTCCAGCACTCAGGAGGCTAGGTTAGGAGGATCACTGAATATGAAGCCAGCCTAGGCTATTTAGTCAGCCTCTGTCAATAAGACTGAAGAAGTTGTGTCAGTAATGTATGCAGAGCTCCACAATCATTCTGACTTTGACTTTCAAACTTTCAAAATCTTCCACTTAGGAAACACACTTCCTTCTGCAATGCTTCTTGTCCACTATTTGGATAGAGCTAAAAAAGCTTCACTATTCCAAATACCATCTCATGTTCATGAGAAGTCCCCTCTTCCATTCCCCAGGAGGGAAGGACGGCTTTGAGGATGAATGGTAAGAATGTGCTACGTTCCAGCCATGTCATTTATGACTAATGTCGTTGATGTCTTCAGCACTCTCAGCCATTGAAGAGTGACATTTATCTAGACACCTTCAAAACCAAAGCTTTCCCACAGAGGGAAGTCAACTGCCAACAGGGTGATTTCTGCAGACCCAGTGGTTTCCTCTGGGCCAGCCCTTCCTCAGCTTGCTGTCACTCAGCCTTCTGCCTCAGAGACATTTAATCTGAATATCTAACTTGATCAGTGTGTGAACTCCCACAGCATCATGGACCAAGGGCTACTCAAGAGATGCTATTTAATTTCCTCATTTTACAGAGACTCAAGAGGAATGACTGGTCCCAAGGCATATGTTTAGCAATTTAGAGTAATAACAAGCTCCCTGAGCCCTGCACTTGCACTATAAATTATATCACATGAATTTAATGTCTTTGCTGTCTGCCTATACCACTACTAACAACTTGAAAAAACATATTTCAATATAATGGAGATGATTAATCCTGAAGTTGAGGGTCATATTTTACCAAGACACCACCATGCAGTTCTGTGAGTTGTTACATTTAGTGTCAGGCCCTAGAACTGCTACTGAGTCCAACTTTTACTGCTTTTCTCAATCTTTTGTGGTTCTGTTTTGTTTGATACGATATAACCTAGGCTGACCTGGAACTCTCTATATATCCCAGGCTGGCCTTAAACTTCTCATCCTCCTTGATGCTACTGCTCAAGTACTGGCATTATACATCCGTTCCACCATGTCCATTCTGTTAGCAGCTCTGTAAAAAAAAAAAAAAAAAAAAAAAACTGACTTTTGAAAAAATGTATTACAGTGAAGCCATGAAACTGTCTGTAGAGGTCTGCCTAGTCCCTTTTCTGTTTGTGAGTAAGGGTCTCATTTCTATGTTTTTTTAAAACATGTTTTTTTTTAAATTTTTTACTTATTAGTGTTTTTTTTTGTCATGTTCAAACACAAAATCAACATCATCTATATAACAATAAACAACATGAGAAGGGAAAAAAAAAAACAGAAGTACAATAATGCCCTCTGTGGAAACACTTTATAGTTTCTACAGAACAGAAACTGAAATAATCTGTTAAACAACTAGTCAAAATTCCAGTCTTAGAGAGCTTTTTGCCCACATGTGTAAGTATTGCCTAAAGGAGATAGTCAATGCTTTATTGAGTTATTTATTGTTTTAAAACTTAAGTGATATTTAAGTCATTTTTGTTTTGCTGTTGTTATCATTTTTAGTCACTTATTTCGTGGTACAGAGTGGCAGGGGACAATTTCTTGTAGTCAGTTCTCTCCTTCCATCATGTGGGTCCCAGGGATCAAAACTCAGGTTTTTGGCTTGATGGTAGATTGTAGATTGCCTTTATCCACTGAGCCATCTCCTAGGCCTGCCTTTGTTAGGATTTGTATTGCTGAGATAAAACAACAGGACCAAAAAGCAAGCTGGGACAGAAAGGGTTTATTTGGTTTATGCTTCCATATCGCTGTACACCACTAAAGGAGGTCAGGACAGGAACTCAAACAGGGCAGGATCCTGGAGGCAGGAGCTGATGCAGAGGCCCTGACAGGATGTGGCTTCCTGTCCTGTGTCACGCGGCTTTCTCAGCCTACTTTCTTACAGAACCCAGGACTACCAGCCCAGAAATGGAAACACTCATTAGGCAGGACCCTCTCCCATGGATCAGTCATTGAGAAAATGCTTTACGGATGGATCTCATGGAGGCATTTCTTCGATTGAGGCCTCTCTCTCTCTCTCTCTCTCTCTCTCTCTCTCTCTCTCTCTCTCTTCTGTGTTAGGTTGACAAACAAAACCAGCCAGGCCCTTGTCCATTTTATTTATTTATTTACTTACTTACTTACTTACTTACTTACTTACTTACTTACTTACTTACTTACTTATTTATTACAATTTACTCAATTTGTATCCCTGCTGTAGTCCTCTTCCTCTCCTCCCAGTCCCAACCACCCTCTTACTTCTCCCCCTATGCCCCTCTCCACGTCCACTGATAGGGGAGATCCTCCGACCCTTCTATCTGATCCTACCCTATCAAGTCTCATCAGGGCTGGCTGCATTGTCTTCCTCTGTGGACTGGCAAGGCTGCATCTCCCCAGGGGCTGCTGATCAAAGAGCTGGCCACTGAGTTCATGTCAGAGACAGCTCCTGCCGCCCTTAGTAGGAAACCCACTTGGAAACTGAGCAGGGGGTCTAGGTCCTCTCCATTTTTCTGTTGTAATGATACTCAGATGAGGTAACATAAGGAAAAGAGTTTTCTCTAGCACAGTTTTGGAGGCTCAAAGTCATGTCACCAGGATTGGCTCAGCTCTGGGAGGACCTCATGGAGACTGGAATCACGGTGGTGGGAAGGAGAGCAGGAGGGTGAGATCATGTGGTGAAGCAGCAAGCCAAAGGCAGGTGAGGAGCCCGCCTTGCTCTCCGTGTAACAGCCATCTCTCAAGAACTCACTCAAGTTTCTGTAATAACTACTTTTAGTCCCTCTAAGGCTGGTGTCCCTTCTGAGTCCTACCCAATTTCCCCTTGGCTTCACCTCTTGAAGGTCTCATCATCTTTCAAATACGTATTGAAGAACAAACAGCATCCACATCTGCTACATGTTCAAATGCATAACAAGTCACAGGAACATAAAAAGCTTACATTAGGAGCCTGTTCCCACTCCTCCCTGCCTAGCAATCCTTTAGACACCTACCTTCCTTAAGTCTCTGGAAACATACAAAAAAAGGTGAAATATATTCTTAACCCTTTTGGTTTAAAATTTTTGTTATTAAATGTATGAGGGAGAGAAAGAGACAACAGAAAAAGGGAGATAGAGGAGACACACAGAAAGAGAGAAGGGGAAGGAGGTAAGAAGGAAGGGAGAGTCACATAGAGATGGGCATGGCATCAGGAACGTGTGAACCTACAGAGGTTAGAAGACACCTCCAGGAGTTAACTCCTTTCCCTGCGGGTTCTAGGGATTGGACTTTAACTGTCAAGCTTCTGCAAAACATACTTTGAACCATTGAGCTGCCCTCTCCCTTTTCTTATTTAGACAAAATACTACACCATGGATACTTTTTATTCCTGGCATCTTTTGTCTTTTGTTTGCTAAAGAAATTTTAAAAGAGTCATAGACACATTACACCACCCTCTCAGACTTCAAGGTGCATCTACTTCTAAAAAGAGTAAACCCTACTATGTGCCCATGCTAACACTACTACTCAAAATAAATAAAATTATTGGTGCTTTTCTATACCTCATATATTAGACTGTAATCACATTCTCCTATTGAAAGATGATTATGTAACTGATTTGTTTTGATCCAGACACAGACAAGGTGTCCCCTTGCAGCTGGTCATCATACGCCAACGTCTCTTTTAATAGATGACAGTCCTCCTTCCTTTCTTAGTCATCCGCTGGTTCTATTCACTGGTTCTCTTTGAAATGCTCTGCGCTCTGGCTTGTCCGATTTCTTGTGGTATCATCTACCTTACTTCCTGTTTCTGTTAAAGTTCCTGCATGTGAATTTTAGCTCTAGAGGTTTGGTGAGCTTCAGGTTGACTGTTTTAATGCTTCACAGATGACCTTATTTTTGATATGTTGCAATACAACTACCTGATTGTGGTACATCTAGGGATACCAAATTGGTCAGCCTACAGCTTTCACTTTTAGCACTGAAAAATCTTTTATCTCCTACAGTATATTTTCAACCTTTGCTACAGATCCATGGATTCCACTGCAGGAAAATAAGCTGGGTGTGGTGGTTCATGT